GGAGCTTCGTTTAACTTTATTATTTTATGTTTCGCATGTATTTTAGGAGGGTACTTTGTGGGCCATGGGTGCCAATAGTTATGGTGATTGTTACAGTTTCAGGAAGGGAAGGGAAAATTTTGAAGTAACATCGCACCTTATTAGAGTATCCAAAAATTTGAATTAGCGACTATGCCCAAATTAAATAACCACCTTTTCGTTTGATCAACGACAATTCCTTTCAGTAACTCACTGATTTGGGCGCTTAGAGTTCATTGAACTTAAAATAGATTTTCTGTGCTTGGTCGTGTTTTCTTCGGAAGCGACGCTTTGTTGAACGTTCCGGATCCGGACTTCCAATCACAGCCTACCGTTTCTGCCGAACACGTTATGTAAATGTGGGCGGCCATTTCATTGTACACAAGCTTTATGCCCGCCGCTACGCGTCGGAGGTTCCCGCTTCGCGCTCACCTCCTGCTTCACTCTGGGCAACAGCTTGCCGGGGCTGCGCCCTGGACCCCCTTTGAGTCGGCGCCTTGCGCCTCCGTACATAGCCCTTAAAAATAGAATTTGCTTGAAATTGCCTCTATGATTTACAGTTAAATCAAGCGCAATAAAAAGTTGGAATTGAACAAAAAAAATCGAGTAGAGTAAACTAAATTAAGATCTCAAAAGAATTATATTTTTTGCTCTGTACTGGCCAAAGTACAAAAAAAAGAGGAGCAAAATTTTAGAAATATATTTGATGGTGCTTTGACTTGTTCTATATATTTTTAAATATGTGGGCCAGAGCTGCGCCCTGGCCCATTCTTCCAAGAATAATTCTGAAATGTTCAAAATATGACAACTCTCCTACTAATTTACTATTTACTATTGTACCCAATTCAAAACTTCCCATTATATTTTACTTCTGAGAAATTTTGGGCCAGAGCTTCACCCTGGCCCTCTTTATAGACTATCCATATCTACTAATTTATGTACCCTTTTAAGAAGACTCTGAAGTATCTCAGGTCAATCAATCTCATTCAATGCTAAATTTGACAACTTTCCTGCAATTTTCAGCTTAGATTCAGCTTAGACTTGGGTATTATAATGGATGATTTAAGCTCCACATATTCAATGTTATATAAAACACAGAGGCCGGACTCAGAGGATGTGCAAAAAAGATGTTGGGAAGACGCGCAGATTTGGTTGAGATTTGGCGCAGATCGAACGCGAACATTGTACGAAGACGCGGCCATGGTGAGACGCGCGCGTCGGTCCTACCCCAGGCCCAGCCCCCAGGCTTATCTTATAAGACGTTCTCGCTGGTAGAGGCTTTGACCCGTTTACCGTGGAGATGACATCCAAACCGCGACGAAACTCTTCCAATGACTCCAAACAGGCTCCTTTGCAAGATGGGCCGTCGACGACGCATTGGGGCCGACGACTGCTAATTGGAATAGCATTGAGCGGCGCGCTGCTATTCTTCAACTACAATGCGCAGCTCTCGTATGTTATATGCTCGCCAGCTCGGAAGATCTATACAGTGGATGGAACTAATCCTCAAGCGGAGTGCATTTCAGTTCGAAATACACGCATCGTTCATGTGGGGAAATACGGTTCGTGTTGAAGCTGCTTCGAGGCTTTACTTACTCACGTTTGGTCTTCAACACGACTTAGATGATGCTGTGCGGTCTCATGGATATCTCACAAGCATTTCCAGTGTATTGCCACAATGGCTTGCCAACAAGTGGAAGTTCGTCCAATCGTGAACATTGTGAAGGTCATTCATTTGGATAGTGGCTGGGCGGTTGTTCCAGGGCTTGCAGGTACGCATTTATTCTCCTAAATCTCAAATTTTTGTTATAATTGCCACCCAGATTATGCTAAGAATTGTGACCAGATGCCCATGCCCATATCATTGAGAACGGATACATGAATCAACTTCCGTTAATGGGTTCCAAATCTACCCAAGGTGCGCGCATTTCTGGCATTCATCAAGACCATGCCTTATATCTAACACAAATTAGAGGTTGTCGACCGCATTAAGGCGTTTATTACATCCCATCCGGACGTGTATAAGGACCAGAGCCGTTGGATCGAAGGCATGGGATGGGACCAGACCAAATGGCCTGGCGCGCAGTTTCCCGTTGCCGTACGTTGCGCACTTGCGGCTGTTTTCTCTACAATAAGTTTGACATTTTCCGCAGGCAGATTTAGAAACCGATCCTCTCCTCAAAGATCGTCTTATCTCATTAAGTCGGGTTGACGGACATGCGCGCTGGGTTTCACCAGCTGTGCTGAAGCTTATGCAAGACTTACCAGAACAGGTAGAAGGTGGACTTATTGTGAGAGATGAACAAGGAAACCCGACAGGTACAGAAGCCTGCATATGCACAATTCAGCCCGCATCATTCACTGCATATATTCAGGTATTTTCGTTGACAACGCGATGAGCTTGATACCAATCCCTCCATGGAGCGAGAAACAGATAACCGAGTTCTTTGACCAGACTATGGAAGAAGCATTGTCATACGGATTAACTTCCATTCATGATGCGGACACTAAGCCCGATATTATAAAATTCTTCCAGAAGATGGCTGATGCCGGAAAGCTACCTGTGAGACTAAATTCACTCAAGCGCGAGATATAGCTGAGCTAGAAATCCCCAGAATCGGCTCTATCTCATGGGAAATAATGGCTCTGCAGACTACTGGGGCGACACGCTGCCACATCTCGTTAATTATGGCAAACATGGTCGATTAAACCTTCGCAGTATCAAGCTTATAGCCGATGGTTTGTCTCTCAACCCAGTCAAATAAGCTATGTATACTAACTTCCAAAAGGTGCTCTTGGCTCATGGGGGGCTGCCCTCCTCGAGCCCTACTCGGACAATCAAAATGCAAATGGTCTAATGCTTAGCAGCCCCGAGAAGCTCGAGAAACAAATCCGGCAATTTTGGAAGGATGGTTGGCAGACGGTACGTATTGAGAGCCTCTTTTATCTCTTGCTCAACAAGTTCGTCTTATTGTCAAAATTGACACCCATAGAACGTACATTGCATTGGCGATAGAGCCAACCATGTAGTCTTGGATATCTACGAGCGTATCCTTGAGGGAAGCGGAGGAAAAGTGTCAGAGTGGCGCCCGCGCATTGAACATGCTCAAATCTTTGCGCCTGCCGACTTGAAGCGCATTGGAAGACTCGGAGGTACGCCCGTTTAAATATGTCCTTGCAATATTTCCCAATTTGCTGATACATGACTTCTCCTGCGTTTCAAGTTATCGCAAGTGTGCAGCCCACGCACGCGTAAGTGAAAATTTCCACTTGACACAAAACTTTGCTTAATAATATATTCTAAGGACATCCGATATGGGCTATGCAGAAATTCGACTGGTCAGTATACTTCTTTTTCACTTAGTCACATTGCTAAAAGACGCGACTTCTAGGGCCCAGAAAGAATCAAAGGAGCATATGCCTATCGTACTCTCCTCGAAGCATCTCCCCAAGGCGTCCTTCCCCTCGGCTCAGACTTTCCCATCGAAGGAGTGAACCCTCTATTAGGATTCTACGCTGCAGTTTCTAGGTTAAGGGTCGACGGTACATCTCCCCATGGTCCCGGAGGATGGTGAGATCACTCTACATCTTGCACGACATGTCCCATTCATCGCGGAATATAGGTTCCCGAACCAAAAGCTAACACGAACTCAAGCGTTGAAAGGGATGACGCTGGATGCGGCATATGCCTCTTTCGCCGAAAATGACATTGGGTCATTGACGCCAGGAAAGAAGGCCGACTTCGTCATATTTGATAGGGATATAATGATGATTCCGCAAGACGAGATTTTGAAGGCAAAGGTGGTCGCGACAGTCGTTGATGGTGTAGTTGCATATGGTGCGCTGTGATGATGAGTGCAAAAGATGATCATCTCTTGCAATTATGGTTTATCTCTGCACTTGGCCGGCCACATGTAGGTGACCGAAACCACATATATACAGTATTCATGAAGGGTACATTATGTAAATCAATTGTATACATGGGGATCCTTGAGGCTTGGAATTCGTCAAATGACTTCAAAAGAAAAGATAAAATCAAAAATATGGGCCATGTACGAGCAGACACGAACTCACAATAGAAATGGTGCTAGTAGAGCAAGGAGAAATAATCACTGTTCGGGCTGTTCTGCGCGAGCTTTGAGGGTATCAGCCGCCGCTCGAAAGGCCACCCTAAGCTTGTCTCCAAAGAAGTAGCTCGTAATATACGCCAGGATGCCGCCAAAGACCTCTATCGTCTCGTACTTCGTCTTTCCAGTGGCCTCGTCCACGCTCAGCGCCTGCCAACGTTCCGTGTGGAGAAGAAAGTAGGGCGTGCCCGCCGTCTTCCATGCTACACGGTAGTTCTCGTTGTCGATATGGGTAATAACGCAGAAGGCGCTGTTACTTCCAAAGAAGCCAGGTTCGCCCATCGTCGGCGGCATGTTGACGTTTATGGCGATGTGCTCGCCCACGACGGGCGTCTGGTCGGGCAAGGGTACTTTCGATGGGGATACCACAGTCATCGAGCGTCTAGGCAAGCGTAACGAAGTTTCGCATAGCAGCAACTAAGAGAGGTCCACATACACGAAAGAGTTCCTGATGAATGGCACGAGAGTGAATACTGAAATCATAATTTACAATGGTGGCGACTTACCACTTCGTATAGTTTGGGAAATCAAGCATGATAGACCACACTTTGTCGCGCGGAGCATCTATGAGGGCAGATGAAGAGACGGCGAAAACATGATCAGAACCCAGAGGGGGGAGATGAGAGTTGGACATTGCGAAACAGTCAAAGCGTGGTGGCAGCTTAAAGACTTGCCGGCCCGCGTGGTGACATGCTTCCAATTATAGAACATTGCTCAGAATACCGCCTCCACAGCTCCAGTTAGCTCCAGCATGAGCAATAATCAAATTCATTCGATGAAAAAAATAAGAGAGGTACCTCGACGATGTCAGGCTCTTATGCTCTTTAATCTAGTCCGCAAAATGGCAAAAAGGTTTGATGGAAGCGGGATTCGAACCCGCGCCCTTTCGGACCAGATTGTGCGAGCATCAAATGCTCTGGTCTCCTTAGTCTGGCGCCTTAGACCGCTCGGCCATCCCACCATACAAGTATCTTCTAGATTACAGATGTTAATGGCTTCGGATTTAGCGCTCTCTTTGAACTTTCTTCTGAAATATGAATGCTGATCACATCAGGTACGCCGATCCATGCGATGATAATAACACAATCATAGATTGTACTTGATAGTACAAAGCAGCAAGAATTGATTCAACACCTGCTATTTGCCTGCTATCATCAAGCTATCATAGCACCAGTGCATTCCAATGTCCAACCCTACTCGGGCGCTAGCGCTGAAGACCTAGCCAAATTATTGCTTGTCACTGAAAATGGCATGAAATCACAGGTTGCACAGATTGCTCATCGCCAAAATATCATCGCCGCATGTGGCGGGATTTCCCAGGAATGAAGGTTTTAGAACTGGGATGTGGTCAGGGAGATTGCACAATTGCTCTGGCCAGCACCGTTGGCGAGAACGGATCTGTCGATGCAGTGGATCCTGCACCCCCAGATTATGGTAGCATAAATCCAATCTTATCTCTGGTCGTCTTTGCTGAACTTCCGGATACAACAGGATCGCCATACACGGTTGAAGAAGCACAGAAGCACATCTCAACAACATCCCTTGGACCTCGTATAAATTGGATCAACGCATATCCCCTCACCTTCCTTCCAGAGAATTCTACGGCGCCGAGATACGATATCGGCATATTGTGCCACAGCCTGTGGTACTTCTCCTCGCCCGAAATTATCACGGAAACTTTCCAGCGGCTTCGATCGTTGTGTAAACGGATATTCATAGCTGAGTGGGCTCTATCTGCGTCTACTCCTCAAGCTATCCACACGTCCTCGCTGCCTTGACTCAAGCTTCACTGGAATGCCGTAAGCCGCAGAGCGAATCTAATGTGCGAACCGTCGTATCACCCGCTGCAATTACGAAGCTCGCTGAAGACGCTGGACTGAAGATTGTTAGCGAGGGCCAGGTGGTTCCAACCGAGCATATTTATGATGGGCGCTGGGAGGCGTCCGCCGTCTCCAGCAAAAAGTTCGTCGAAGAAGTCAAAGACAACGTGAAGGATGAAAGAGAACAGGCTGTAGTTTTGGCACTCCGAGATGCGACATTAAAAGCTTGGAAGGGATCGACGGGGGCGTGAGGGGTGTTCAAGCATGAACGTTTGGTGTGCGGTATTTGAGAAGGCCTGATTTACAGTAAGCTCTCATCTGACACGTTCATCACGATCTCTGACCTTGAATATAGCCCGACTCAAATACTCAAAACCCCGAAGTCTTGAAGGATCCAATTCTTGCACGTTTCGGTGCTTTTGTACGAATGACACGACCTCACTTACTCATTCTGAAATTTGAAACCGCTCAGTCAATCGCCGGATACAACGCCAATTGTGGCGCACAATTCAACCGTTCTATGTCAAAAAATATGTGTCTGCGATGACATACCTCTATATGTCCATATGCTCTAATTTACTCGGAACTCAAATAATTTATCGCTCCAAGCCTCGAGGCAGCAAGCAGGGTTCGCTGTCACTTACGCCACAGCCTCATCCGTGCTGCGCACGCTCACGCGAACGGGAATCTGCAGGGATCGGCAAGCACTGCCCGTCTCATCGATGATGTAAGGCCACCACCTCGAGGTTGCGCTGCGCGCGTAACTAAGGCCACACCAGTGACCAAAGGGTCAAAGCTGGGTCAAAGACAATAACAATATCAGGGTATAAGCTGGTGTAAGGAAATTATTCAGGGTGATTTTAGTCTGCATTTTGATGCGCAAGCTTAACAATAACAATAACAATCGATAAGCGCTGGGCGCTCGCACCGCCGGACTCGGCGACATTTCACGTTTCCCCCAAGGGCATCGACAGAGCGCACCATCGCACCAGGGAAGTTCCGTACAATAACAATTAGCCAATGGCCAGATTCATTGGCGCGACGTGAAACACCGTCAGTAGGGTTTAAGTACATACAAGCCATCAGGTAGGTACAAACTACAAAGACAAACGAGGAAAGAACGAAACAAGGCAGGGTATCCCAAAAACAAGCAAGCAAGCAGGGTTGACGATCGTAGCAGTACTACATCTAATCGCATATGTAACGAAGGAACAACAGAGAGAGAATGTGCGGATGGGGCTGTTAACGCGTGTATGTGTCGTGGCTGGGTATGTGGCATATGTGAGTGAGTGAGAGTGATTGCCTGACAAAAAACAGAAACAGAAAAGGTAATTCCAAGACGATATAAGCAGCGAAAGATTATTCAGCTATAGCAAGCACCCCAATCTAACGAACAGGGATCTGAGCAAGAATGAGGGGACGGAGAGGAGGGTGTTTCAGCCGAGTGTTATTTGACATGTAAAGTATGCGGGACGTAGAACAGAGATGGAATATGATGATGTTTAATAAATAGGCCAAAAAAATTGGAGCGGATGCGACTGGGATTCTTCAGAAAACTCGCAAAGGAGCACTAGTAAGTACCAATAAAAAAATTCCAAGATGGAGGAAGGTAAAGGTTTATGAAGAAAAGCAAAGAAGAAAAGAAGAACAAAAGAGCAAGGCCAATATATATGAGATCGTCCCACCAGAGAAGAGAGAAGCCGCCGAAAGGGAAGAAAGAAAGAAATCGAAAAGCCGCAAAGCGAAATAAAAAGGAAAAAGAGATAAATAAGATCAAGCGCTGAAAATCCAAATATTTCCAGCTGGGATGAATCGGGTGATGATAATAATAACGAGGATGTCGAGGAATTGCCAATGTTATAACTTCGAGAACGCGAACGGTGGGGTCCTCCAAAAACGGGTTCTTGAATCTTGACTTCGATTGTGAACTTTGATTTGCCGATGGAACAATGCGAAAGAGAATTGAAACAAACTTTTGGGTGCTGGCGCCTATGGACGATGAAGCCAAGGCGTGAGCGAGCGTATGAGGCGGTGAGTATTGCGTCGTGCCCAAAGAAGAATTCGACGAGAGTGACGAGAGCTGGCCAAATGAGGCGAGATAGTGGAAGAGTAGAGAGAGAGGGAAGTCCAAAACCGGGGGCGGAAGTACAAGGGAGCGCGCGCGATGAAAGATGGCAGGTCCTATATCCAAAACCACACAAAGAAAAGAAGAAAACGACTCCCCCGCCGACTTCAAGCACGTATCTTAGGCCCATCCCCGCGGCCCACCACCCGCCCCTGCGCACCCACCAGCTCCTGGTGGTTCGGCAGCGGGAACGCCGACAGGCTCTTGCTCTCCTCCCCGTCCAGCCGCCAGATGTTCGCCAGCGGCGACGCCCCGCCCACCGCGTCCGACGTCGTCGAGCCGCTGTCGCCCCGCGCGCGCGGACCGCCGCCGAACATGCCCTGCGGCGCGCCCGCAGGCGGCGACGCGAGCAGCTGCTCGTCGTACTCCTCGATCGACGACAGCTCCGCGGAGGACGTCGTCGTCGACGTCGGCGAGAGCGCGGGGGACTGCACCATGTCCTGCAGGAACGACGGGAGGAGGGGCGCAGGCGCTTGGATCGGCGGGTGCGCTTGCGCTTGCGCGAAGGGCATGCTGCCGCTGCCGTTGTAGTGGTTGTTGCTGATGGTATTACTGGCGGCACTGAAGCCCAGCCCACTTGCGCGCCCGGGGTGTTGTACGCTCAGGTGCTGCTGCTGCTGCTGCTGACTCTGTTGCTGCTGCTGGTGACTCTGCTGCTGCTGCTGACTCTGTTGCTGCTGCTGGTGACTCTGCTGCTGCTGCTGCTGCATCCGCCCCGCATCGGGCCCCGTCGAAAAGATCGGCGACGGCTGGCGGTGGCCCGACGTCTGGTATATAGGGCTCGACGTCGTATACGATGCGATCTGCTGCTGCTGCTGCTGCTGCTGCTGCTGCTGGCATTGGTGCTGAAGCTGCTGCTGATGCAGTTGTTGCTGGAACTGACTCTGCTGCGCCGGGCGGCGCCATGATACTGCTGCCCGAGCGCAAGATGCGACTGCGAGCGGTGCACAGAGCGGTGCAGCGACGGCCCCAGGTGCGATCCCGAGTGCGGCACCTGCAGCGACGACCCCTGCGCGTGCTGCACTTGGCTCTGCGCATGCGACGCGTGCGGCCCAGGGACGGCAGAGGGCAGATCGATGAACGGCCGGCGGGACTGCGGCGGGGTCAGCGAGTGCGAGCGCTGGCCGTGCGCTGGGCTGGAACCGTGGCGATGCACGCTGGCGGGCACGTCGAGTGTGCTGCCGCCGGTCAGCGATGTCTGCGACAGTACGGATGTGAGCAGCGCGATGCGCTCTGCCTGTACCGCGGCCGAGATAGAGTCGCCATTACCCTCCGCGTCTAATTAGTTACGAAAGCCAAATCCAAAGCGGAGCGTATCCAAGGGGGCACGAGCATCGATGGAGCACAGAGAGGCGGACATCCAAGTAAGAAGGAAGCGATTCACAAGAAGAGAGCAACGAAGAAGAAATCAAAATCAGCATAACGATCTCCAACGCCCAGATCGAAGGCAAGAAGGGAGAAACACGTACACGGTAGGCACGTCTGGCACACTTTCCGCCGACGCCAGTTGAGGTAGTTGCACTTCTGGCAGATCCAGTCGCCCGGTTGCTGTGCGCCATTTTCGGAGTCGTCAGCATGCATGCTTACAGCGTCGGAAGTTACTATCTCCTTCCTTCCTTTGCCTGGTGGGTGCGATTCATGATTGATAACGAGAACAGTAATACCCACGTCCCGCGCACGTCAAATGTCAACGCTAAGTGACGCGCCTTGACGCGCACAGGCAACACATGCATCCACGGGGTGTCCGAGGACACTAGGGAAGCGACGTGACGTGAACAGAGGGCGATAACGAGACGAATCTCTAGTCATCAGCCACTCCGCTGGGTACACATCCGCATGAAACACAACCGTACCGCCACCAAGCAAAAAAAGGAAGGGAACACCGAAAAAAATACTCACATGTGAAATAGGCCCGCGATTCCCTGTGTTAAGGATAGGTGGCTGCTATACAAAAAAAGAGATGATGAGCCCCGCGCCCTCAAAATACCTAACGACAAAAAATGGAAACAAAAATAG